CGGTTATGAATGAAATATGCTTGCACCGCAGAACGGCTTATCGCACATTGCCTTCGGGGCCTTTATCACGCACGTATTATGTCATTGAGTCGTGTGGTATTTTTCCGCGGCTTGTTTTTTTTCTCCTCTCAACTGCAATGCAATTTTATTCGACGTTATCCAAAAGTTCTCTGATGCGGGGTTTCTCTTTCGACCGGATTCCTCACACGGTCGGTACAAGTTAAGTGCTGGCTAGCGTGGTGGGCTCTCTGCGACTTGTGGTGCAACGAAGAGAGCGACCGCCGTGGAATGCGTGGGGTCTCTGCCACTAAGATTACTGACCGTATTTCCTGGAATCGGGCTGTTGTCGGCGTGCATCCCAAGTCAAAGAGGCTGCAAATCAATCAGCATGCACTTGATGTGTGAGAAGAATTGGAATAGTTTTTAAGTCTCGAGGAGGAGGAAAAAACGCGAATCGTCGTGCATGTTGCGCTGAAGAAAGTGAATGAACGCGCGGCGCGGCGACTCACACTCGCTGCTGCTGCTGCTGGCGCGCTGGTTTCGTGCGAGAATCGCGTGTAATTCGATCCGTGTGTGTCGTGTCGGGCGAGCACAGCGAGACGACGACGACGACGTCTTCTTCCTCCTCGCCGCGCCCGCCTTTGCTTGCGTTGAATAAGTTTTGTTTGGGTTCTCTTGCGCGCACGATGCGTGCGTGCGTGCGGCATTCGGGCCCGCGACGACAGCGTCGGTTGCTTCTCCTGTGCCTATGCCTGCCTTTGCCGAGGAGGCACTTCCGGGCGAGTCCACGCCGAGGGGTGAGTGCGGAGGACCGACGCTCGCGAGCGCGCGCGCCCCTCCTAATCCACTTAGCGGTGCGCTGGTGTGCGTGCGGTGGCGCGCCATCTGCGGCGTACGCGAGCGCGCGCGCGTTCAGTCGCATTTCGAATGTGTTGATGTTGTGTTGTCGCGGTGTGCGCGTCGTCGTGCATTGCGTGATGCAAAAGGCAACGCGCATTGAAACAAAACAAACGAAATATAAACAAGCGCGTTGCAAATACCCGAAAATGTTGCATTATCGCGCGCGCGCGCACCGGAAGTTGCGAGTCGATTATGGATGCCAGTGTATTCGGCGAGGATGTTTGGTGCTTGTTTGTGGCGGCATCGTCGTCGCTGTTCGGGAGGACTCGTCGTCGGGGACGCACAGGATGTGAACACGTGCACACGCGACACATGACTCCGCGCCACAGGATGTGGCTCAACCGGAAATCATTTATTGGGCGCATCCGAGGTAAGCCGACCTTTTTAACGGCGTCGTCTTTTTGAATGGACGCGCGCGCGCGCGTCGTTGCTGCTGCTGCACCTTCGAAACACAACGTTTGTTGTAAACGCCGAGCAGCGTGTGTGTGGATGATGGATATGTGCTGCGGGGTGGGGTGCGGAGGCGGCAGGGAAAATAAAAGAAGCATGAATCACTGCTGAGGAATCAAGTTGCATATTGTTTAAACAAGTTTATCGCAGCGCTAATTATGAATGGTGTGGTGCGTTGTGTGTGTGGTGTTTATTAAGTGGAAATGCGCATTTGAACCGCGAGGTCGTTGTCATGGTTACGCCGCCTTAGAACTGCGTCGTTTCTTTCGCCTCGTTCGCGTGCATGTTTTCGGATTGCGCCTCGCTTTCCATATCGCGCGCGCGCGCGCGCCACGGAACTTTTACGTCGTTCTCTACTGCTGCTCGATGACGAAATGTAGGCAAAAACAACGCAGGTCCTGCGTTTACACGCGCGCTCCTCCACCAAAACAATAAATAACCATTTTTTTCTCTCCAAATTTTTTAAACGCATAATGGAAATTTTGAATTAATTGGATCAGCATGGATTTGAGTACCTACACAAAATGAAATGTCGGTGGTGGCCCGCGGCGGCATATTGTGTTGTTTTTTTCGAGATGCCATTTTATCATCATCGAGCGCGGCACGTCGTGTTTCTCTCTGAACATGTGGTTGAAGTGAAATTGTGGCCTCCATTCGGGGACCGTGAGAGTGTTTGTTCCGTGTTGGCTGGAATGCGAGGGCCGTTATGTTGTGCACGACACCGACACAAACACACACGCGCGGCGCACAGCAGACAAACGCGTACGCTCGATTGGTCCCTACTCTCCTCTCCGATCAAGCAGAATGCAGTCGGAGAGAACATCGCTAGCATCATCTCTCCTTTCTTCTATGATCTCGCGTGTATGTGTGGTATACACAATATTCGAACGCATCTCAGACGCCTAGGCTCTCTTGCTAGGCAAAGAACGACGACCCATAAACCACCATAAATATATTAGTTGTTCTACAAACTGGCATCGTCTGCTGTCGCACACTAACAAATAATTCTATCTAGGCGCAAAAAACACGTGCGAGTTGAATTTATCATGTTGAGATTAATGGAAAACTGAACAAATAATCTATGTGTATGCATAAATGATGCATTTATTCTTGATTTGATATTTGTAATAGGTATATCCTGGAAGGTTTTGCGTATGTATCTATGAGTTGGCTTTATTGGCATGACGACACACTCTTCGTCCTACTACGATGTGATGGTGACGCGATGACGCCTCTGTTGCGTTTTGTTCCATTCATACAGCACAGTGTGCGCATTCCACGCGATGGCGTCACTTCCGGCCCACGGCCAGAGATCTACTCTCGATTCGTAGCATGAAAAAAGCGCCGCGCCGATAGCGTGGTATCTGAAATTGCTTTGTTTGTATGAATTGTTGTTAAATGTTGTTGTTGTTGTTGTTGATGTTTGTGAGTGTGATTGTCGACCTTGTTACGCATCCAGCTCCATGATCCATCCATTCATGGATGATGCCCCACTCGGACCACACATACCAAGGCTCCTCTCTCGCGTTTGGTATGAAAACGCGACCGTTTACTGTTACGCGCGCTCGCCGGCCGTATACTATGAGATTCTTGAAAGTTCAATCATCCCGACCGACAAGTGCGTGGTGTGTGCGTGCGCCTGGCTAGTGCGTCGCAGAGCGGCGAAGAATCGCCTAGGCGCTGGCCTAGAGCAGCGCATTTTTTCGTCCTCCTCCTCTTTGGTTTGGTTTCTTCGGCGGCAAGGCCTTTGGCGCGGCCTTGCCGTCATCAATCACCTCTCTGAAATTTCACTTTGTATCGGCCCGACCGACAAACATTCGATACGTTTTCTAATTGGGGGCACATCAACAAATGTGCGTGGCATTTAATTATTCTGCGTCTGTTTTTTTCATCTGTAGTTGTATGTTTGTGTGTGTGTGGTTGTTATCGCTTTCAGTTTGCATCACGCGTTGGCGATTTATGAATGTAAACATAGTGTTAACGTCAATTGTTGCGCACGTCGTGGCGTGGCCCGCAATCGACAGGTGGACGCGCGCCGTGCGGCGGTCAACGCACCGGAACATTCCGGGAATGTCGCCGCCGCTTTGGTATATCGATTCTGGACTAGTTCTGGATTATCTACGGACTACTCTTTCGGGTTGGAGCGTAAAGGTTGTTGACTGGACAACGGTTGGTGTGTCTTCACGTGTGTGTGCGTGCGTGTTGTATGTTGTGATTCCGTCTGAGACCCGCATTCCGAAGGCAGGTCACACATGCCGCGCTCGCTGACGCGTTCTCTATGCTCACTTCTTGTGCGATGTGTGATGGTCGAGGAAGAGAGGAGACGGTCAGTTTGATTGTTTGTCACGTTTCGCTGCTGCTACGTGAAATTGTGCTGATGGTGCGAATTTTTCCATCGGGACGACGACTGGTTGGTTTTCGTACCTGAAACGGCACAATCCGGACACGCCCCACGATGCTAGGAATGTCCGTTTTTGCACGCACGCAACGCACTCTCACCCTAGCCGACATTGTCGCGCATTGTGCTCCCGGCTATTGTTGCCTAATGGCTTTCGCAAATTTTTCGCGGCGTGAAAGTGTCACACCTGGCCTCTTCTCGTTTGGGGTGGCATAATTACATTGGACGGTATTAAAATTCATATTTCTAGACTTTTGACGCAAGTGCCGGAGAGCAGCGGCCCGGCCCATCATCATCCACTCGGCCCCGGGGCGTTGTCTCTCCATTTCCGCTCCATCTTTGCACCCCGGACTAATTGCATATCGCACATTGAGTGGAGTTTGCATTCCAATTCAATCTCGAATATTTCGATGCGAACGGCCAATCATGAATCTTTAATATCGGCTTTTCCCAAGGGAGCAAAGCATATTTGCGTGTGTTGGTAGTAGTATGTGCACCGAGAGCGCCGCGGCCATCTTAGCTCGCGACGACGAGGCGGAGACTCGGGCGCGCGCACGTCTCGCTCGCACACTCGGTGGCTCGCGGGTGCGTGCTCGCATTAGCAATTCCAATTTGGGAACCCAACTTCCAACTTGGAAGCGATCGGCTTTGCTGGGCCCCACCCCACTCGAATCAGTGGCACGCTGCTGGTGGAGGATTCTTCTTCATCGCGATGACAATTCGTCCCCGCGAACCTCTGTATTGTTCTAACTGATGAGTCTCCCTTACTTTATCTCTCCGTACCTGATGATAATTATTCATTCGTCGCGCGTAGATAAGGTGACGCGCGCTCGGTGGAATCTTGAGCGAATTACGTGCGAGATAAGGCAGGCGGCGGAGACGCGCGCGCGCGCGTGCGTGGGCGAGAAAAGGCGCATGCGACGTCACAGAGAGCGTGTACGCGCGCGCGTCTGCGACGTAAGATAATTTCATTCATCGATGCCGACGCGCACGTCCAATTGGATCGCGAGATGCGCCCGCATCCGCCGCGAAGCTTCCCGCCAATCTCGCTCGTCGTGCGTGCTGCGCGTGCGCGCCACACTCACTCACTCGCTCAGCTAACGGCGCCGACGCGCTCTGGCAATTGGAGATTTCCCGCCAATGCGTTTCGCGCCCTCGTGCGTGAACCACGTGTTTTTGTTTGAAACTTTTCGAATATGTGCGTCCCTAGTGAGGATGAGTGTTAATATTCAGTGGTTTTCGTTAATTACAGAAAGTATGTGGCAACGGTATTACTGGAGATTATTCAAATGGCGCCCGCCGAACCGCTGAGCACCGATCTTCCTCAGATTATGGACATTTTTGGAAAATTGGTACATGATGCTGGTAAGTTTATTTTTTTGAATATTTCTTATACAAACAATTTGCAGATTTACCTGTAGTATTGCTAAGTATAAACCTGCGCACGTATTAGATTGGCATTGGCGATTACTAATTAATTATTAACATTGGAATGCGGTGCACGGTGTGAATCATGAAATGTTTAATGCAATGCTCACTGTGCACAGCCGCCGGCGCCGTAATCGTACATGAATGAACGATTGTGACAATGAGTAACAACAGAAAAATGTCAGGAGTGACGGTGTAATGCAAATAATGGAATTTCCGTTACCATCATCTCACTGTAAACCAGCAATAATCGATTGCTTTTCTCGAAATGCATGCGTTATTTACAACACTATAGAAGTTTGAATTACAAAAGTAAAATTAGATTGTCCTCCGCATCTCGTGGGATGCATTTCAGGCACGTGGCGGCCGTGTTTAACAAGTACTCGGGAGATTTGTTGCGTAACGCTGAGACCCCCTTGCTCTGCTGCCGAGACGCATCTCTTGTGTTTCTTTCGCCGCAGGAATAGAAAGGAGGAGGAGTGAACGTGTCGCGTCGTCTCGAGTAGCGAGTAATCCAGAAGGAATGTGCGAGCTATTTTGGTCGGAGGGCAGCGCGCTTCCGGTCGGCGACGACAGGAAACTGCACACGTGGGCCCCCTGCAAACGGTGTATAAATAGTTTTGGGGGGCACCCTAAGAAATGCGCCGTGCACCCCCAGCGAACCCGCGCTGCGCTTCGTCGTCTGCTAATTATAGAATTTATTGGGATGAGTCAAATTCGAAATTGATGTCAAGTTGCTGCGCTGCTGCTTACCTCGACCGTTTTTCTTTCAAATTTGTGCGAACAGGCTAATATCGATTATTGTGGGGGCGGTGGCGGCAGGTCGCGTATTTTCGGTGCGTAGTTTCCGCGACACGCGCTGCGTGTGTCTCCCTGAACTTGACACACTGTCCGCAATATTGTGGCCCAACGCAAATCAAAACCGCACGCTGCCGCATGCACGCTGATTGCATTCCCCGGAACCATTTGTAAACGATTATCAAATGTAATAGGTTGATTTGATTTTAATTGAAAACGAACCAACCGCCATTTTGTAACAAGGCGCTGGCGCTGATGATGAAAAGTTGGAAAGGGCGCCAACGAGCTCGATTCGTGGAACGTGCGTACCCACAGGTTTGCTGCACGCCGGGCGGAGAACCAGTTTAGAAATTATCATCATCATCGAGCGCAGGCATGTGAATGCAATATGTGTGTGCATCGCCGCGCGCGCGTCGATGTTTAGAATCCCGACGTGTAGTGTGTGTTGCGTGCGTTCTCTGCGAGACGCGCGTTTAGGAATGCGACGCGATGCGCCGGCCGCAACGGTAAACTGTGCGGCGCGCGTTTGGGACGCTCGACGCTGGGCGTTGCTGAGCCGCGCGCCGCGACAGAAGCCTCAATGAAACGTAGTAGTGCGCGCGCGGCGGGCACACACGAGCGGGGCAACGATCTCGCGCGTGGCGCCGCCAGGTGCGCCTGGCATGAACTAATCTCGCTACACGACTGGCTCTCGGCGCGTCCGTCGCGTAGCCGCAGTTCGCCGAAGCGGCACGCACGCCGCCCGCATGGCTTCCATAACGGCGTCGCGCGTGAGTTTTGCCCGCGAATTTACGTTGTTTCTTCATGTGGTGGTGTGTGCTTCCCCCCGCGACGTTATGGCAGTGCATGTCCTGCAGGAATGCGGACAGGTCTCTGCTGTCCGTACCCGACTGGGCGGCTAACCTCGCACGCGCGGCATGGCTTCTGTACGCCGAACGCGTCCGCTAGTCGTCAAAATGGTGGTGTGGTAACCTCGTGTTGAGAGCGCGCGTCCCCCGGTACGAGACCCGCTTCCGCTCGCTACTTCCAGCGTGCGCGCCGGGAAACAACGCGGTGCACATTCGGTATGTTTCAGCTCTTCTTCCGCATTGCGATATCAACGATATGCCCATGCGTCTCACATGTGTTGTACAAGGTTTGTTCTGTTTTTGCAGAAGTTGTGGTGCGCATCGACGCGCTGGAACATATCCCGAGCCTGGCCGGCATGGCGCTTAAATGCGCGCAGAAAGTGCCGGCGCTGGCAAACATCACCAGCGAATACCTGCTCTCGATGGTGGTGAACAACCTCGGCGACAACGACAACCAGGTGCGGAAACATGCGCAACGCGCGCTCTTCACGTTACTTGAGCAGGGACTAGTCAGCAAGGCGCAAGCAGAGATCCAGGTCTGTCCAACGATCCTGGCGTTGACACGGAAGGAGTCCATGGTCACCGACGGAGTGACTGTAAGTACTCAGCCAGATAGATACATTTTAGTTCAGTAACACTCATCATCTTGCAAACAGTCATCTGCAATATGAAAGACATGGGTAGTGAGATGTGGCAGTTCCTGGTGTCTCACTACCTTGTCTTTCATGTTGCACATGAGAATAACCGCATCATCCGCTTCAGCTGTCTCGGTAAAGTTGGTCTGTCTATACTCTTCAGAGTTGGTCTGTTGTAGGACTTTTTAGCTATCACAGCCAGCTTTGATGAGCATAGCTGTTCCATTCATTCTTCAATTGTTTTCTTCAGTTTGTTTTCACTGCCAATTGCGCATGGCCGTGCCGTCAATTTGGTTGTGAAATCTGTTTTTTTTTTCGTACAGTTATCACAGCCACTTTGATGAGCTCGGCGGTGTAGCCCCAATCAACATGAAAAACAAGTGAAAATGTTACTTGCTGAATTTTGTTCTAGTGTGTTTTAGTGATTCGTTGCTGTTGCTGCGAATGCCTTTCCCGTCAATTTGGTTGTGAAACCCCCACGATTGCAAAGGTATCACAGCCATTTTGACGAGTTAAGTTGTTGCGCGCCCGATCGACGTGTGGGATTTCCGCTCCCCTACTTTTCGGCACTTTTGGAGGAGTTGTTGCGGCGCTCATCAACTGGATGTGAAATGGATGTTTGACACATATCACAGCCAGCTTTGATGAGCGCTGCATAATTCATGACGCCGGTTGAGTGCTGCTACTACTGGGCCATGCTGGGCGAAAGAGGAAAGATGATGGTGGATTGTGTGCGGTGTGTAGTATGGCTCTCATCAGTTGGATGTGAAATGTTTGTTTGTTTCATATCACAGCCAGCTTTGATGAGCGTTATGCTGTTCAGAAACAACAGCGGAACCAATGGCATTTAATTTTTGCGTGTTTGTTAATGTTGCGATTTAGTACCTGTTTAATGTGTTTGTTTTACTATTTTGCAGTTGATGGCAAAGGTTGTGCCACTTCTCGGGCGAGATGTCACCGAACGAGTGTTCCTCGACAGATTCGTCGAATTGTGTGCCGCAATGAAATTTTATGTCCGTAAGATTTGCGCATCGCATGTTGGCGATTTTTGCGCCATTATTAGTCGACCTCTTTTTGAAAAAGTACTGGTGAGTATCGTTAGTTTTAAAAGATAGTATGAGTTTTATCTTTATATGATGATAATTGATTACGACGGTCTTCCGACACATCACATGGAGATATTTTTTTAGTAATCACTGATTGCCTTCTTGCAATTAATAATACCTGATATTTCAAGGAATTTAAACTAATAGAAACATTTGTTGCAGTTCATAGCCTACGCAAAATTGTGCAACGATGAGGCCTGGGGCGTGCGGAAAGCATGCGCCGATGTGGCGATGTCTGTATCGTGCGCGTGCTCGCCAGATCTTCGGAAGATGGTACTGGCGCCGGCGTTCGCGCGTCTCTTACGCGACAAATGTCGGTGGGTGCGCATCTCTGCGTTTCAAACACTCGGTCCTTTCATCTCCACCTTTGCGGAGCCGACAATCACATCGCTTGCGTATAATAATATGGGCGAGCTGGTTCTCGTCTGCTATGGCAGCGAATTTAAGTAAGTTGAATAATCTTTTGAGTATGTAGAATGATTGATCATAGTTTGCATGATGATACTTTCCACGACGGTCTTCCGAGATATATATGAAGAATATTCGTGTTTTCTGATTTCTTACTTCAATATATTTATATTAACCAATGTTCATCATGATTAAATTTAACCTGAACACTTTGATTATTACAGAATAAATAATTCATCATGCACGCCAATGGATGAAGTAAAGAATTTGTTTTACCTCTGTTTGGATGACTTGGACGACGACTCGTATGACGTTGGCTTTGTTCGAAAACGAACAGAGGAAGGTGAACAGCCGCTGCCACCCGAAGAACTGCCACAGTTGGAAGCGCCACCACCACTCGATGAACAGTCTAACGCGCAAAAGACGCCGCCACCTCCTGAAGAACAACTTCCCGCGCCGAAGGAGCTATCACCACCACTCAAAGACGACAGGAAAACCGATCCAAACAATGCGTGGGTGATGGACGTGATTCTTAAGGGCCTGGACGATTTCATGCTAACAGAGGACTTCGACAACGATGAGATGATCTTACGTAGCAACAAATCGACCGACGACAACAAAAAACAATGTGATAATTTAGGTAGTGAGATTAGCACAATTTCGAATCCGGCGAGCGGCGATCAATTAGAGAACGTCGATCTGAGCCGGAGCGAACAAGCTACCTGCAGTAGCAGTGGCGATGAAGCCGATCGCGCCGATTCGGGCGGCGCTTGCGCTGCGGCGACGCCCGAAGGTAATAATGATGAGGACGGTTTGGAGTTATACAACTCGCATAATTATTGGTATGTGCCTCCAGATATGCCTTTGGATCCTAATATTGTAGCAGGAATTGAAATTGAAAAGACTGCTTCTGACACTACCGATTTACCATCCGCACAAGAGGTAACTATTCTCTCTGCCGATTTTGGCGCAGTTTGAAAAATCTATTCCGTTTAAAAAAGTACACAGCAGAATCTCGTCATGTTTAATTTCGGTATGAAATTTGCTTTCGTTTGTGTTTTATATGGATCATTATTAACAATCAGAACAAACATGTGGCAGATTTATAATTTAGCAGCGTAGAAAGTTTTCCGTGCATGATAATTAAAATCGCTTTGAAATTTCATTCATGTTTTATCGCTCACTTACATGCGTGCTTGAAATAATCTGTACTAACTGTGTTTTATGTTTTGTTTTAGAACACGGACGCTTTTGCAAAACTGAAACTGATTTTGAAACAAACAATCTTAACGAAACCGTTGTTGTTGCGGCTGCCGCGGACGCAACCTTCAAAGCTGATTCGCCATCAGGTAATTGTAAATATTTTACCGCCATTTTCAAAAAATCTTCATTCTACAAGACTTCTGGACAAAATTATTATTTTTATCATGCAAGCTGATTCTGCCACTAATAAAGCAATTAATAAATGCGAGTTCTGAACTCTTGTAGTCTTCGATGATGACATTTTGATTACGACGGTCTTCCGACACATCAAATGGAGATATTTTTAGTAATCACTGATTTTTACGGGATAAAAGAACGTCGCGTTGAATTTGTAGATGAGTGTGTTAAAATGTTGTGCATTTTGCAGATGTGTTACTAGACGGCGAAAGCGCCGAGATAACGGAGTTAAAGGAGCCGCCACAAAAGATCGTGCCGCAGCTTCTCATCGATCACTTTATCTCGATGGCGGATCCGAGTATCGCGCAAGACATCGACGACAACATTGCCTATCACTGTGCCTATTCGCTGCCCGCCGTTGCGCTCACGCTGGGCAGCGTCAACTCGCATTTATTGAAGGAGACGGTTGGCACGCTGGCGGCCAACATGCAGTACAAGGTGCGCCACACGCTCGCCAGCAGCCTGCATGAGTTGGCGATCATCTGGGGAAGCGATATTGCTTCCAATGATCTCGCTCCCATCTTCAACGAATTTATCAAAGACTTGGACGAAGTGCGCATCGGCGTGTTGAAGAACCTTGCTCAATTTCTAAGAGTGAGTATTTAAACTGTCCCAAAATGAGTTACTACTATTGATTATTATTTACTTACAGCTTATAAATCCAACTAAGCGGTCAATGTACCTGCCGCGTCTGTCGTTCTTTTTGCAAAACAATCAGAAGCTGAATTGGCGCTATCGGCACGAGCTTGCCGAACAGTTACTGAAGTCAGTGACAATGTTTACGCCGTCAGAAGCGTCCAAGCATATTTCACACATTGCTCAGCGCCTGCTTTGCGACAAGGTGGCGGCCGTGCGGCAGATGGCACTCAAACTTGTGGCGCAGTTGCTGCAGCACATCAACAGCGAGCCGGGACTTTCGTCGCGGATGCTAATTAAATTCGCTGAGACGTTTGCACACTCGAAAAAGTGGAAGCTGCGCCAGACGTTTGTATTCCTCAGCTGGGAGTTGCTGGTTGGAAAAGCACTGCCCATCGAACAGTTTGCCAGCGATGTTATGCCGCATCTGCTTGATCTTAGTTGGGATCCTGTCGCCAATGTACGATTGGTTGTGGCGCAAACAGTTGTTACACATATGATAAACAACGGTTAGTATTACTATGACTTCATAAAATGCAATAGTTCAATTCTTTCAATTAGCATGATTATAACATATACAATACGAATATATTTATGAAGACACTTTTGTATAAGGCAGACTATGATTTTTATTATCATTTCTAAAGTTTTTCTATTTTTGGTAAAATGGATTCTATAATTCCATGTAAAATTCGTTTTCAGAATATTTCCGAGATCCAGAAAATCAACACTACGACCTGTTGGAGTCGGTGCTGCGTCGATTGCAAACTGACGAGGACATCGATGTACGACAAGCGGCTGTGGTTGATGCGTGTCAGAAGTACGCCTATTGAATAATTTTTGGTTGAATGTTTTACACGGTTTTTACATCAAAAGCAGATGATTGCAATTACACACGATTTTTACATCAAATGCGAGAGATTGCAGTTACACCCAACTTTTACATAAAAAATTAACGAGAGATTGCGGGCCTAAACCAACTCGTACTTTTATTCTTGTACATTATAGTTATGTATTAGTTATGAATATGTAAATGATGAAGAAAAACACGCGCCGATTAGTTTAATATTTTGATGGTTTTATATGAGATTGAGCGAGCGAGCGAACGAGAGAAAGAAGTTATATTTGTTAAATTTAAAATAATTGTATGTAATATTCGCCAAAACAAGAAATTTTTAGAATGATTCTAATTTTTTTATTCTATCCCCTTTCCTAACACATGATAGCATTATCAGAAATGACCGCCGCGGATCATTATTCTATCAGAAACTGTATAGATACAAGCTATTAAATACCAAGATTTAACAAAAGCGTCAAGCTGACGGACGATATGGAAATCCTTCAATATTTGCTTTTCTTGTGACCGCAATACAAACTATTCTGCTGAATGACTCGGACACTAAAGCACATTGGCCTTTTTATACATTGGACTGATCCGCAAATTGCGAAATGAAGAGAAAACGATTAAAGCCGGCTTCGTTTGAAACGCACAACTTACTTAACTCTCTAACACTACCTCCCCCCACCATTATTTGCGGGTCGGGTGTAGATATGAAAGGACCGCGAACAGTGCTCAATCGCCCAGATTATTCATTCTGATCAGTCTTTTCTGTGTGGTCAAGCTATAGGTTTCCCTAGTTCCCCATCTCGGCGAACGGTCGCAGGAGGTTTTTAGTTTTATAGAAAACAACAAATGTGCAGTGGCAAGTTCGTTTCTGTTATTTAGAACGCGTTGTTTCCTTTATAGTGTATAATTTTCTTCATTTTACTAGCTTTTGTAGCTTCAAATGTTTTTAAATTATGCGAATTTAAAAACTTACACCTTCCCCACATTCTCGCGCCAGGTCGCGTGTTACCCGCGCTTTGCAAATCACATAACCTAAAGGTATGGCTGAACCGGATGATTGTGTCCTGCTAAAACAAGGTGCCGAGGCACGAATTTACCTTTCTGCCTACAAGGATACGCCATGTATCCTCAAGGAGCGGTTCCCGAAGAAGTTTCGCCATCCAGAATTGGATAAACAGTTAACAAGGTCGCGCATTCGTGCAGAAGTCAAAGCATTAAAGACATGTGCTACTCTCGGCCTAAAAACACCACAAGTTTTCGCCTCGGATCTGGACAAACGGACCATCCACATGGAGTTCTTCCCGTTTGCCATCACTGCAAAGGATTACATCATAAACGGTAACGATGAGCAAATAACGTGGATATCTCAGGAGATAGGTAAATACCTTGCCAAGATGCATAGCAACAAGCTTGTGCATGGTGACTTAACCACCAGCAATGTGTTGGTTTACAATGAAGCATCTGAAGATGACTTCAGCAACACTGAGGAGTTAAAAATTATATTTATTGACTTTGGCCTGTCACAGCATGAGGCAAGTGCTGAGGATAAGGGTGTTGATTTGTATGTGTTAGAAAGAGCACTCCTGAGCACACACAGTGTTGCTGACCAAATATTTCCAACTATATTAGAGGCATATAAAAATGAGTATAAAAATTGCGCGGATGCTGTTCGTAAGTTTGAGGAAGTTCGTGCGCGAGGCAGGAAGAGAACGATGGTCGGATAGGTATGAAATTACTTAAATATTTAAAGTCGTGATGCCATGCCTCCGGCAGCGACAATTGTTTCGCCTGTTATGTAACGCGCGTCGTCGGACACGAGGAAGGCTGCAACTCCGGAGATATCATCAACTTCACCCAGCCTGAACGTTTTAAAAGTATTGACATTTACATATTAAATTGAAAACAAAGTTAGTACTCACCTTCCCATTGGAATTTGGCTTAATGTAGCTTCCTGGGCTGTAGGTGATTCAGTCAACTAATTTTAAACATTTAATTCAAAGTTAATTAAGTTTAAAAGAAATTATATAAAATACAATAACTTACAGCTGCTGAAAACTTTGTTTGGATTATTCCTGGTGCAATGCAGTTGACATTAATGCATTCAGTGCTTAACTGTTGCGCGGCGGCTTTGGTAAGCCCAAGAAGAGCTGTTTTACTCACTGAGTAAGCCCCTAATAACTGCCAAGTTATAAAAATGAAGTTAAGTGAATTTTTTTTTGTTAATAATATAAGTAGTGCACACTTACACCAAATGGTTGAAACCCAGCAATGGAGGACACAAACACGATGCTGCCGCCTCCACGCTTGCGAATATAAGGTAAGGCTTCTTTGGCAATAAGATAAGATGCCTTCACATTTGTGTCAAATATTTTATCCCATGCTGCTTCCTCACACTGAAAATTTTATTTGTTTTTGTTAATTTCTAATTTGATGCAAAATGTAACATACATCAAGTACTCCTCCAACTGCTGGATTAGCTGCTGCATTTGATACTAAGATGTCAATGCCACCAAATGTTTGATTTGCCTAAAACATTCATTTATTATTGCATGCAGATAATTGCTCTCTTGAAGGTGTTTACACATTGCATTAAATTCTTCCTATCTTCTTCCTTTCCCACGTGACACACGAATCCTGCAACGTCCAAGCGCTGACCTTTTAGCTCCTCAACCGCACAGTCGACATTCTTCTGTTTCCTGCTGCTGATGACGACTTTAGCGCCTTCTTGTGCGAGTCTTTTTGCAATTGCAAATCCAATACTGTTGACATTTATATGTTACAAACATTGGTTACAATAATCTAGAGATTTGATTACCCGTCGGTGGAGGCCGTGACAACTGCCACTTTACCATCCAATCGGTTTTTGGGAATATAGGACATCGTTCTGAGGGTGGGTGTTGACTTGACGAGGCGTCGCGAAAGCATCCTGAATGATAAAGCAATAACTAAAATTTAGAGTCCAAAGTTGAGAGAGAAATATGTGTGATGTGCGTGACCTTGTATGCTGTGTATGTTTGGTTATCTATGCGTTGTAGATAATGCTTCACGCATTATTAGAGCTTTTAAACTTGAGCCTGCGCAGCATGATTTCTATTTATTTATTTCATCATACCGTGAATGTCTTCTACTTAATATTAATCACATTTAAATTATTTTCATTCTTCTGTGTGAAAATTATTTTAATGATTTTGACATAAGCTTAGCATAATTTCTTGCAAAAAGTTTGCCTTGAAGATTACAAAGTTCTAAATGTCTTTAAGATGTCTCAATTTGCACTTGTTCTGTTTGTCTAGTAGCATTTCCACTTAATTTTCACCGCTCGCGCACGGGATTGCCGTAACAATCCATCATATACGAGTACGCCGCGCTCCGCTCCCAATTGTTGCATTTAGCGATTGCGCCAAACTAATTGCATTAATTGACACATTCGCGCATTAAACGCGAACGCACATCGCGGATGAATAACGACCGATTTCCGATGGGAACTGGGAACGTCGCAACTCGTGCACCGTTTTTTCTTCGTTTACGACTTACGCAAGGCGGCTTTTGTTTACGCCGGAGTCACTTACTTAAGTTTACGTTATGCGGTCGGTATTAATGCAGCGCAGGACTTCTATTTATCAAATATTTCAATAAGCGTCACTATAAATTGAGTGTAATTAAAAAGTACAGGCCTGTAATCAATGGTTGAGTATGGAATACATTTAATTACGCAATGAGATATGGTCTTAATGCATTTCGCAGCGTAATTCATAATTATTTCACATTGTTCACACACGTATTGCAAAATGTTTATAATGCTAAAATAAGTAACACAAAGTAAATCGTATCAAAAATATTTATTTTAAAGCGTGAGTCTGTACAATATATTAATATTTGGCCTTTTTTTTCGACGGTTTATTGCTTATAATCATCTATAAATTATTTATTGATTCTGCTGTTGATACTGCTGCGCCGGCGACATTTGCGGATGATATTGGCCATCATCGACAATGCCTCTTGCCTCGTCGGCGGCGTTCTGTTCGAGTGCCTTAAGAATCTCTACTGGAATTGGGGGCGGTGTTGGAATATGCGCACCCTGCGGCAGGAAACCGTTTTCGTCGGCGGTGTAGGTCACCTCGAAACGCTGACCATCGGGAGCGGTAAAAGCAAATCCACCTTGGGCGGTTGGGGAGTCCGGGTCTTTCAGATAACCAGCCTCGTTGGCGGCGGTGCCATCCCCGGTCTCATAGGCGTAGCGATAACCCGCTTCGCCATTATTTTCACTTTCGTACTTGACGATGGGCACGTTGTTGTTCGGGTTGTAGATTGGTTGATTGGGTGGTGCTTGAGCGGCGGCTAACATGCAACCCAAAGCTAAGAATGTTATCACCTGAAACATGTTTTTTTTAAAAAGATTCACAAAATCCGAAGTTATTAGCACGTTGCACTGATTGTCACTTACACGAAGCATGATTGAATGTATATATGACTACACTTTTAGTTGGATGTTTTTTGTTTGTTTGATGGATGTGTGATGTCTTCTTGGAAGCTGTAGGATGTTTATATACCGCGTCGAGACACGTCCCACCCTCGGCGAAGTTATTAGATTAGAATTGGTATTACGGTGTGCGGTGTGTTGGAAGAACAATTCCCACAAGAATACCGCTCTTACTTTCGTGATTCTTTGCGCGTCTGTTGTTCTTATGCGGGCGCCAGACTTATTATAAGTCTGCATACTGGCTGTTGCAAAATGCGCGTTTTCGTATGATTTACGTAAACAGAAAACATATTTTTTCAAAAGCATATTTTACGAGACAAAACTCTACTTAGGCAATCTTCGGTTCTCGCTGGTTTGGCATTTTTCGTGTTTTGTAACTCGCTGCAGCATTATTTTACAGTGCCGATCGACAATTGGTATCAAAACAGTAATCGCATTTATAAATGTGCAGCCGCGTAACGGATGATTAACGTGATGCAACCTTGATCAGCGCGCGATTGTACGAATTCAGCTAAATTCATTACGCACGTTTTTGTCATTAATTTTAGATTATATAAGTAGCTACAGCAAAGGTAACTTGTTATTATTTGTGAAAACATGAATATCCTTCTAAGAAGGTCTTCAAGTTTTCAATCTTTCCAATCATTTTCTTTCAGAATGAAATACATTCAGACATTCTCCTACTTTTCACATTCCTTAATAATCTGAATAAATGCTAATGTAAATTTATGTTTCAGTTTGATTATCAATTTTTCATTTGCTTGTGTTTACTTTTATCATATTCGTTTTTGTTGAACATTGTATTTACAGCTAGAACACCAATCAAGTTTTGATTGTTGCGGCTGACATTTCAATTG